AACATTCTGGGACATCCTGTATGTTTAAAAGCTATATACTTAAATTTGTTTTGCAAGAAATGCAGGTTTGAAATTTTACCTTAATTAAAAACTTTTAATATTAAGTAAAAAAAATAATTTTATTATTATTCTCATATAAGTTGCCAGCTCAGGATTCAAAAGTTTCGAGAACCTTCTGGGAATCCAATTCAAAAAAATTTAGGATTCATCGCAAATGTAATAAAAGGAACAGAGGTTTCTTTCCAAATTTTCAGACTATCCTGAAAGAGGCGACTGCATGTCAAATATGAAGATCCAGTTATGAATATAAGGAGTGAAAGAGAGTATTGTTGAAATCTTGGAACACAAACATTTGCTTTTTGCTTTTGTATCAACATAAATTTGCATGTATATAATTTTACGTTATAGCCTTAGCTTCAAAATCGTCTTCTAAAAACCACAATTGGGTTATATAATGTTGCTCATCCTTGAATTTCAACATCAAACAAAAGTATATTTTCTGACTTTTACCACAAGGCTTTTAACACAGCTTTTAAACTTAAATATTTGAGATCAGTCATCTTGGGGAAAATGTGATAAATCGTCATCACTCTATTTATTATACTAACTATGCAATAATTTGTTTAGGTATTAAAAAAAGCTTTGCAAAGCATGCACTATTTATAATTTACAAAGCAGCATTTAGCTATGTAAGCAGCCCTCGGTTACTGTTTAACAACAATATATGCCAATGTTTTGAAAAAAATATCGTTTAACAAATTAACATAAACAATTTTAATAAATAAATCAAAACAACTTATTTAGACATTCTACCTCATAGCAAACAATAGAAATATTCTAGCTTCAGACTACTTATGGTACTTACGTAAGTGTAAAAAATTATTTAAAGTCAAATTAAAAAGAAAAAACGAAATTCCTAAATTTACAAACTTTATTAAAAATATTCCTTCTACTCAATTTTTTACAGACATATATGTAACTTCAGTTTATCAATCTCTAAAAAATTATATCAGTTACACCGTTTAATGTTCTTCATTTATTTTTTTATGAAGTATTATAAAAATACAACGTCGGTAGAAACCAGCAAATATCACTTCATCCTGCCATCTGTAGACTTAACTTGTAGCTATCAAATAAATTTTGTAGTTGGTGCTGCCATCTATTGGGAGTATTTATAAAATAACTTAAATAATTATTACGAGTGACTAAAACAAAATTTGAAGGAAAGATTTAAGAATGAATATCCAGACCTTTTACAACAAATACAAAGAAATAATTCAAGCTTACAAAATACGACGACATTTATCTTAATAGAAAGGGATGGCAGCATATGAGCCAATTGGGCCAGTTATATTGCGAGGGTATTACATTAGATTGAGACAGTTTTGCAAGATAATTGTTTACAAGATTATTGAGCTATTTGAGAATATTCAGAAGGTTAGATTAAAAACATCAAATACCGAACGTTTGTGACCAGTACAATGCCTGCATCTTTTGAGAACAGTAGTGATAAGAGTGAATGTATTTCGTGGTAGGCATGCTGACGAAATGAAATATATTATTCCTATTTGCATGTGTAAATTCTTGAGATACACATCACCAGTTTCTTTTAAGCTGAATGAAATTGTTTCAGTTGCGATTAAATTCAAACCCACAGTGAAAGAAACTAGAGTTATAGCATTTAATATTTACCATAGTTATCATATTTCCTCACCTTATTTTCCCCCTTTTGACTTTCTTGTACGAAGTACAAGAAGTATTGTAAGCCCGAAGAAATATTCATTTTATCTCTCGAATTCTCGAATCTCTTTGAATTCTTGAATCTCCTTGAACGATTTTTTTTGAGTGACGTCTGTACGTACGGATACAATAAAGGACTTTTTTTTCCCAAAACGGATTGTAAAATGGATTTAAAAGGGATTTTTCGGTGACGTCTATACGTACATATGTATGTATGCACGTATCTTGCATAACTCAAAAAAGATATAGAACGTTGAAATTTTGTATCCAGCTATAGAACGTTGCTATAGAACGTTGAAATTTTGTATCCAGCTATAGAACGTTGAAATTTTGTAAATGCGACTTCTATAACATCTAGTGGTGCTTCTCCCTTTTTTGTTAATTGTAATCGCCAGAACCAAACGTATATATCCCAATTTTCTGAATATATATATATAAACGTAAAGCATCTAAATTAATTTAGATGCTTTAAGATCATTCTACTTCAATCCTGCAGCTATAGAGCAGGACGGGTTTAAAAAAAATTATTCTAATTTCTTAATTCGAATTATTAGCCTATATATAAATATATATATATATATATATATACCCCTTATAGGGCTTAAACGTCTTTACCCGACCTTTACCTTCGAAGCCAGTGGTTGCAGTTATATACTTCCAATTACAGCAGTGTTTTAAATGACGAAAATATTCAGGTTTTGGCAACGACAAATTAAAAAAAAATTGACAAATAACAAAATCTAACTTTTAATGAGGTCTCCCGCTCCCTGTGCTTACATTTGCAGTTTTTGATGTCATTTTCAACTTGCCTTGAGATGTCGATTAATTAAATTAGAATAATTCAAGGAAATAATTTTAAATGGAGTGCAGCAAAAAATGCCTGTAGTGTAATAGGTCGTACAAAGTATTCATGCGGTCTCATATGAGTTTTTTTACTAATTTCATCGTCCGAAAATCAAGATGGAAAAACTATACGCTTAATTTATGAATTAAAAAAGTAAATTTCGTGCGGTTACAGTTAAGAACATAACACATGAAAAGGACTCATAGATAAAATACTGGTAACTATCATAATATTATGATTTCTTTAAAAAGGAACTTACATTTATAAAAGGATGGATAGTAATATTAATACAGTATCTAATAAGACAACTGTAACGCCCATTCCTATTGTTGTCACATGTTACTCCCTAAGCCTCAAATTATGCAGTGCTGATGGAATTGCTGGCTGCTGTTGCACAGTTTGTTGCAAGCCTTCGACATCATTACCGTTAAGTCCATCTTCAGAGCTCTCTAGAGCATTAGATATTCCCCTGTTTCTTTTTTTTTAAACCTTCATTAATTACTTTATCAGTCAGAGTCCATGGACTGATCACCCACTCATGCATGACTGTCCACTCAGCCCTGACTGTCCCCCCATGGACCTCACCCATGACTGTCCACTCACCCATGCATAGCTAATCAATTCAATGGGTGGTGTTTGGATTTTTCCGGTTCTAATAAAATTGAACTATCCTGCTGATAGCCACTCGTTATACCAATTTCACACGCTACACGAATTTACCAATAAACTAGCCCTCAGAAGAGCAAAAATATGTGAAAAATCCAAATCCTAGCTCTAAAAAGCAAGGGGGAAAAATACTCCAGGAAATACGTTATTGGTTTAAAAAGTTTTTGGAATTATTTCTATGTTTAATCAGTCATACTAATTATAAGGTGGGATTATTGAAAGAACTGAAAAAGAAGCTTGTTTTTGAATATTTAGTTACCACAGAGAAGCAACATAGTAAGATAGTTCTTTCAAATGTAAAATGTTTTGAAGCAGCTGTTGGAAGCTTACGTACATTAAAGATTTGCAGCTTTTTTATTTCTGTTCTCTGAATGTAAAAAATAATGTTCCGTATCTGATTACGTATTACCTGATTTCCAACCTACCCTTATATTAAGGATAAACAGTGAAATTTCAGTTAGATATCTTCATTATCGGATCAAGTAACGTATTAAAGTCAAAAAAGGCCAACTTAGATTGGTATGCATTTTGAATAATCCGATTTGTAATTCACTACTAAAATTTTAGTAGTGATCAGACAGAAGTCCTTCTTCTTCAGGAGCAAAAAACATTAGTAAAGATGGATGAAGAACAATTATATTTATAACGAAATCAATGGATGGAGCATTGGCATTGGAACTATGCTCATTTTGCCTTTAGTCATTTATTTCTCATACTCATTTTGTCTTTAGTCATTTAGTTCTTATACTCACTTTGTCTTTAGTCATTTAGTTCTTATACTCATTTTGTCCGTCCAGTGTTTGCACTATACTCATTTTGTCTTTAGTTCATTTTTAGCTATGATGTTAGATGTTACGTTTCTCCTGTTTATGACTTGTATCACTTCTTTTTTTCTCGATAGATGGCGCTACTTTAAATTTATCTTTTACACTCCCATACATTTCTTTAAAAAAAATATTAGTTGCTTATCTTCTATATCTATGTCTTATTGCCTTCAAAATCAATACAGTTTATATCAAGATCTAAGTTTACCTTTTTTCCTAAGTTTGCATTCAGCACTGGAGTATTTTCTGTCAGCCTTCGACTATTGTTTAATTAGCACGTCCGTAGGATTTTGAATACTAATTATTTACGAAAAGCTCTGATAAAAAGGAGCAACAAAGGATGTTGTGCTTTTGGAAAACCTGCGTTCTGTTTTAACTCTGAAAAACTCAGTTTTTTAGTGTGAAGTTATAGAAAAAGGGCCGTGTTTACACTGAAAGCACAACATTCTTGATGTAGCTAAGACGCGACTTGATGCATATTTTCAAACGATAATCTAAGGTAACTTGTTCACACTCAAAACATCGTAACTTCTATGATCAACGACAGCTTGTAAACAGATGCAAATCGCAAGAGTGAACGTGAACAGTCAAGTCGAACGAACTGTAAATACACATAGTACTGCATATGTTATTTACTGCATTCATGCACAAAAGGTATATTTCTCTTACATGCATAAAAGTGCATGCTTTCTTAGTGGAAAAAGAATACACGCATTCTTAGTGGAAACATGCATAGTGGTGCTTACATGCATTCTTAGTGGAAAAAGAATTTGTCAGGTTTACATTAGGCTGTTTGGTGCAAATTCGAACTTTTCATCTCGCAGCTAAAAAAAATTATAAAATATGCTAATGTAACACAATAAGAATCTCAAATAAAACACGTTAAACACTATTTAACGAAAAATTCTTTCTTTTCAAAAATATTACTTACCTAGTAGCTTCGATAATAGCAGTGCTGCCATCTATTGCTTAAAATTGTATCTAAACAAGAGAAACGAAAATTACTCTTGAATGAAAATTGCAAACGTGATTAGAGTATACCATTTTTAATGAGATGGGTAGGTGAAAATCAAAGAAGAGAAAAGGGAATATAATCTACCTTTACGAGTAGATTATCTAAAATTGAACAGAGCACATTTGTAGATACAATTGAACTGTAGTCAGTTTTGGTAAAGATACAAAGTTGGACATTTGAAGCACGATTATACCCTTCCTACCTAAAAAAAAAGGACTGATTTGAAAATTTTACATTATAATCTAAAATCTCAAAAAATCTTATAAATAATAAATAATAATAATACATGTTTATGTAATATATGGCAGTAAAATATATTTTTAATTAAGGCAAAGCTGAAAATGCTTACAAAATTTATCAGTCGGATACATTATAAATTAAAATAATATTTTATTTAAGTGAATTAATACATTTTTAAAGTAAAATAAATATTTAAGTTATTAATAAATGCATTTATTTCAGTCACTCAGTATTTTGATGAATAGTAGAATGACTATATTTGAAAGATCAATTAATGATTTTATTCTTTGCTTATACTTTAAGAACTTGGACGAGAGAACACTCGTGGAAGATAAATTAAAGATCTTACATTTCGCTCAGTGGCGAACACTTATCAAACGCTCCTCTTATATTTTAATCCCATCTTCTCAATCTTAGGAACATATTCATGGCTTACGAATTTAATTAAGCCAGGGCCAGGACGTGCTTTGAGATAGTACCTGTAAAATTATATCCCTCTTTCGACAGATAATAATTCAAAATTTCAGTGAGATCAAAGGACATATTCAGAAGATCTTCATGTACATGCTTCTCATATTACTCATATAACATTTTAACAGTTATTTTTATTAGATATTTTATCTTTTTTCCATCCTCATTGCACAACTGTAAAAGAAAACATTCATTATAGTATTCTTGGTTATTAATGTTGCAAGTAAGAAATAAAAGTTATAAATATGTTCCACAACACCTGAGTTTCTTCGTAGCAAAAAAATCCTTAATTCCATAAAACATTTGTGTCTAAACAAGCGCATGAGTTGAATTATTTATCATTTAAGTTTCCTGAAGAAATCACATACACAAATATGTGAGATTATTCAGTGGTAGCAGATATATCATGCGTGATGAGCCGAAATGAGGCATAGTAAAAAATAAATAAATAAATAAAAATAATAAAAAAAAATCATCGCAGCAGAACTGGAGAATGAAAGAAATTAACTCTTCAGATTTAAAATATTTTAATTAAAAAAAGAAGTCAATTCCAGCAATCTGAAAATTGTAGCACAGGGTTACTGTATACCGTAACATATTTGAAATATATATCCCATATATATCCCACACACATGTGAAATGAATGAAGTTAAACACATTTTATCAGGTTGACAGAAAGCCATACTTTTCCTGTTAAACAAAATTCTGATATTTTCTCCTTCACAGTTTAAAAAAATGTACAAAACCTGATTACAAAATATGAATTCAGCAATAAAACGTGAAAGCAGTACTGAAAGAAGAATTCTTTGATTTGAAAATGTTACCTACCTAGTATCTTTTGTTACAGCAGTACTTTCAGCTCTTGCTAGAAACTACATTGATCGAGGGAGACAAAAATTCTACTATTGTGTTTAATTGTTGACGTGGTTATATTTGTCGCCGATAGATGGCAGCACGAAAGATTTTACATTATATTCAACCAGGGAGAAATCCCTCCCCCCTTTGGAAGGAATTTCAGAATTTCAGGGGTAGAATCCGGTAACCATCTAATTTAGCTGTTAAGTATTAAACTTTGCTTTACGAATATAAAAAAAAAACTAATTTTAATAAAGTTTGAATATTTATCAACATTTTCTGTAATTTTAGTTTAATTTACAAAACACGTTAAAAATGATCTAAGTGTAAATAAATGTATATGCATTTTCCCAGTTTTAGAGAGGAGGGGAGGATGATCTCCTAGGAATCAGGAAAGGGATACATTGGGCAAAATAGGCTGAGAACCACTTTGTTAAAGCAAAAAACCTATTAATTAAAAGAGAAAAGAAAGCGGATCCACATAAGAGGCTCTGTGCGGAAACGGTCTGGCTATGGATATTAAAATAAATAGGAATGTAGAATCGAGAACATCAGGAATTTTGAATATGAATGTGGTAGTATACAGAGCCGTCGAATATGAAAGACCAACATTTTTTTCTGTTCCTTTATTTCCCCTGAAATATGTATAACTGTACGTAGTGACACTTTTTAGCGCCTAGCATCAGAAAATCAGCATATAAATTTCCAGTGGCTTTCGTTCTTCATTTTTGTAATATTTTTACTCTATGCAATGTAATATGACCAAGTATTTACCGGTTTGCGATAAAATCCTGCACGAGATAAAAGGATACTTATTGCCAAACCACGATGCATGAGACCTTTCATTTCAATATTATGGAACTATTTTACTCAAATATATACTAATTTTATCTGAACCTTTTAACAATATTCCGGCACAAATGTTATTTTGTACTACGAGTGTTATAAATAACATAGAATAACTATGTGAATAAATAACTAATTATAAAACATCTGCATACTTTGCAGAATAAAAGGTAATGATTATCATGATTTAACATTAAAAGTGCGCATTTCAATTTTTGAAACATATTGAATTGGAAGCATCTACATTTATTTCTGTTAATTACTTCATTTAGAAAGCAAATTACTTTTTAATATTTTGGCACAGGTAGTGATGATGTTATGATTCAAGCATTTTTAGTCCTTTCCTCCCCAAAAATTTGCAAAAAATAAATAGAGATTTTAAAATTAAAATTTTTTATGAGTTTTACGAGTTTGATGAGCTGTTAGCAGAGGATATTATTAAGTTGAGAAACTAAATACTTGAATAGTGTCTCATATTTTAAAAATTTTTATATAATAAAACATGAAATTTTAGAGTACATATTATGATTTGCTTTGATATGTAATTTAATGCTTTAAAAGATAAGCACTTTTTACTTACCTGGCATCGTATTTTTCCAGCCCAGTTTCTTTCACTGCTAAAACGGGAGATAATTTAATTGTAGATCAAGTTACAGAAGACCCTGCATTTTAATTATAGTTATCCCGTGTATCCTGAGGAGAATAATGAGGATCGCTACAGAAGGCCAGGCCAAAATTTATTAGAATATAATAAAAAAAAATTATTGAAATTATCTACCTAAAGTAAACAGCTCCACAGAAAATCAAAATTCTCTGAAACTGTGATTGCTCATTTTAGAAAAGTTTCATTGTACTCATGAAACATTTTGCAATAACGACATCTAATAGCTTTTCTTATCTCTGCGGTGACTAATATTGCAAGAAACTGTGTGTCATAGCATAGATACAAATATTAACTGGGAAAAACACTGTAACATATTCACAATATTCGAAACTCAACGATTAAATACTTTAGATTTAGTTACGCTGCTAGCCGATAGGTGGCAGCACCAAATAGTATAGATTTCTCTTGTAATGTTCTTTAGTCACGGAATATAAACCATACTTAAGGAAATATAATTACGCTTCTTGCCAATAGATGGCAGCACAAATATTTTCAGTTAGGGTGTAATATTTTAATTATAGAAAAAGTTACACTTAAAGATAGATGGCAGCACCAAATATTTTCATTTCTGACGCAGCATAGTACGACTTATAGTCATACTTAGTGTTTGTAACTACAAAGCTTGCTGATAGATGGCAGAACCGACTATTTTCATTCCTGGTTAAAATTTCAGGTAATAGCGACGTCATACGCTACAATTACTAGAATGTGCAAACATTTTACTTTGTAAATGCATATTTTATGCAGAATTTTTATTAATTGAAATATGTATTTAAACTTCTTCCACCACAATAGATCTCAAGCTTTCTTTCTGCTTTAAGATCTGCATGATTTTCATTTACAAATACGTTTCATGTGAAAAATGACACTCTCAAAAAAGTAACGCCCGGGAAGGACGCCACTTTTGGAAACGGGTAAAATGAGATTAAAAGCTTCAGTTAAAATATAAAATAAAGCTAAAGAAAAATAATTATATAACGTTATTTTTGTGCTCAGTAAATTCTAAAACCAAAAACCATATTAAAAATGTATTATATTAACTTCAATGCCTTTTGTTTGTAAAAAGAGATGTAAAAACGTAAATCGTGTTATAAATGCAAAACGGGTTCATTTCCAGATCGGAATAAATGAGAATAAAATTACTGAATTCTTTCTGTAAGGCTCTTGTAATAATAGGTTGAAATGACAACGGGTTGCTACGGTCTCAAGACCCTCAAGAACGTTAATTGTTTTTAATCCTCCATCAAGGTTCTTTATACTGATATAATGGAGTCATAATCTTCCATCCCAAAATTTTCTATCTTGTTTATTAAATTTTTTTTTTCGGCGCATAAACCTAAAATACATACAAAAATAACAAAAATTTCTTTCTTACATTTCTTCAACACTGGAAAGAGTTGGTATTCTGTTATTCTGTCTGGAGAAATATTTTTCATCACGGATTTTAGGTGCTCATCGGTCAATCGAGTTCTTTTCCTCTGTAAAACAAAGCGGCTCAAATATAAAAGTGTACTCGCAAACAAAGCTGTTATTCTTATTGTAAATATTCGTAAAATATTTTGACAATTACGAATGAAAGTTAATAAATCTGTATCCTGAAATCATTCAATAAGACTTATATCGCATTGCATATTAATTAGCTCCCTTTTAAATTTCTCTGGTGCGTTATTTATGTTCATTCTTAGTGGAAATAAAAATAATATAAACTCGTATTTCAAATTGCTGAAATGTTTGTAATAAATACATAACTGAAATGTCTTCACGCGCTGACAATTTAAGTCTACTCTCTTAACAATCAAATTAGCCACATGCTTGGTGTCGCCATCTAGTATCAGAAATTGAAATCATCAAATACATTAAAAAGTGGGGATGCTAAAATACTTATAAAGGAGTTAAATGGAGTCTTATCTTTTGAGTTACCTTTTTTTTTTTTTTTTTTAAATTTAAGAACTTTCATCTATTTTTTATGAATTATTAAATAGTTTTTGTGAGACAAAGTGGTTTTAAGGTGAAAAAAATTTTTGCCGGTAATATTTTTTAAATTACAGTTTTTAAGAAAAATTTAACAATTAACATGTCTTCCTTCTACAATTTGCAATGTTTTTCAAATCTTTTTATTGTATCGAAATTATTTTATTGCATTTATTAGAATGCTTCGAATAATTTTAAGGATCGATTCTACAATTAACGATTTAGTTTTCGAGAGGTAAAAACAGATAAGGAGAGTTTTCGAGAGGTAAAACTTCAATTACATTTTCTATTCTAACAATTTTTCTTTGCAATATTTTCAAAATCCATCCTCATTTTTATTCATTTTATAACTTTAACAAGTATTAAATAACTTAGTCCATATTCGTGTAAGTATTAGGGCATTAAGTAGAAGGTTTTATTGAAGAAAAGCAGATTAAGAAAACGCAGTTTTGTATACCTATATCTAAAATAAAATCTATTAATATTCAACTGGTTAGTAAAAATTACAAGCTTTTATTTAAAACCTTTTCTGACCAGAAACACTGCAAGAAAAATTATAAGATGCAAGTACCGCAAATAATTTCAATTTTTCAAAAAGCATAACAAAACTTACTGAAAGTACACATATAGATATTTGCTAAAATAAGTATAAAAGGGGGGGGACATTGCCACTTCAAAAGTAGGGGGGAAACTTTTTTTTCGAATTTCACTTAGAATTAAAAATAAATCAGTTTATTTATTTAAACAGAGTTTGCTGTTAGTAGCAGTGATATCTAATTACATTTCTCTTCTTCTACACTGATTTTAAATAAGTAATTAAAACAATTAAGATGTAAAAGAAATAAATACTGATTGATAATACACATATTAGGTTGGTGTAATATTTATCTAGTAACTGTAAAGGGCTGTCTAAGTTTTTAAAACCCTTTTTGTACTATTTATGATTGTCAGATTGTTTCAAAATTTATACTCAGTGCAGTAAGGCAATGTTTTAGCAAAAAATTGAAAAACCAGTAATTTCATCAATTTTGGGGTTGAAATTAATTAAGACCTAACTGTTTGGCAATCCTTTCCATTGAAAAATGCAGTAACTAAAAACAGTAATTTTAATGAAGCTATAAAAATATTTTAAGAAGTGAAATCTCTTGCAAAAAAGCAATTCTAGCATTTTTTGTTGAAAGAAAAGTTAGAAACTCTTTCTGAAACATAAAAAATGGCACATAAATAAGCTTTTTTAAATAAATGTTTATCTGTTAGAGTGTAATCAATCGTAAGCTCTTTTTTTGTTTTCCAAATAATCTTAATTATATTGTTACGAAATGTATAGGCGCGGTGAGATAACTTCCTCGCAAAGAAGGTTTAGGGTTGCCATCAAATAACAAGGGAATGCAGGGTTGCCACATTTGGCGAGAAATCGCCCATTTGGCGACAAAATTGACGATTTGCCATGGACGGGTAGAGAATCTTCTGGAACGAATTCTTACTGGTTTAGCCCAGAATGTTCTCGAACACAAGCCAAAAACTATATAACCCTGCTGGTCTGCAGTTAGTATCGAGTGTGAGTGTCTCTCATTTAGTTTAGTCTGTGCAGAGACGATCAAGTTGACAGCCAGCCAGCGAGTGCCGAGTGGGTCGTCGAGTGCATCAAAGAGTCTCTTAGTGTATCATAGTTATTGCATCGTCGAAGAGTGTGTTGAGCTTTGGGAATGACTGAACCGAAGAGTCGGGAGCTGTGCTCTGTGTGTTGTCGAGTGCATCGTGAGTTGTAGCATAGAGAGTCTCGAGAGTACGTGGAGTTCCGAGAACGACCAAGTGGAGTTGTGAGCTGTACTCTAGTGCTTTGCCGTGAAGCTGTCTCCACCGTGATAGCCTGATAACCTGGAGGCTGTGTCACTGATCGTGTCAGCGTGTTTATAGTAGTTCATCAATGACTGTAAAAATGTGTTTTGGAACTGTCCTGACAATACTGGCCAATAAAGTGTGTTTCGATACTTCATCAAGTGTCGTCATTATTTACTACAAATCTGAACGAACCCTGTGAACGTACATAATGTAAAGGATAATGGTACATTTCAATATGGGAACTCCAAGGAGATTTCCGTGCTTCAAAACTATAGGTTCGCCGCTGCCTGTGCCTGATGGCTTTTTAATCGATAAAGTTTTACACAAGACCTAAGCTAAATAGAGGTTACTTCTTTGTTTAATTTTGACGTTCACATTGACACATTTCTTTTCCATTTGAATTTAAATTTGGTTTTTGATAAAGCCCTCCAAAAATACAAAATAAAATATAATATATAAATAAAAGTGATCTGTAGAATTCATAAGCTGAAATCAACAACTTTAATTTAAAAAATATAAAATTCATTCAAATAAGAGAACTTGTTAATTTTCATGAATTACCGAAATGCTTATTAGCGAGAAAAGTTATATTTGAAGAACCAATGAAATGAGTTATTTTCACAAAAGCAATAAATATATTAACAATAGAAAAATTTTTAAGGGGAAAACAATACGAAATGTTAACATACTTCATTTGGACTGAGAATATCTGAAATAAAATACACTATATGTATATTCGATAAAATTCCTTCTCATTTAGTATCAAATTAATAAAATGAAGAGGATTGATTTTCTTTTCTTTTCTTTTTTTTTAAAGCACCTAAGCAATATTTTATTGACAAAAAATAAAAATATCTTGTACTTTTTTTAGTAAACAACAATATATATATATATGTATACAAATTCAATTCTTTTTTTATTAACACACACATACCAAAAAAAAAAAAAAAAAAAAAAGTTAAAAAGTTTTACAAAATCAGAAATAGAAAATAGATTCCAAATTCAGACTTCCAGGTGCTCATATTGGGGTGGAGGAATATGTTATTCAAAATTTGATGGCTCTAGATACCATAGTGCAAGAAACATACATTTATGCAGATTCTTCATTGTTTAATTTCTCTAAAAATAATACAGGGCTATAATATTTGATGGCAGCAATTTAAAAAGTGATGTAAATATAATACAGGGCTATAATATTAGATGGCAGCAATTTAAAAAGTGATGTAAATATAATACAGGGCTATAATATTTGATGGCAGCAATTTAAAAAATGATGTAAATATAATACAGGGCTATAAAATTTGATGGCAGCAATTTAAAAAGTGATGTAAATATAATACAGGGCTATAATATTAGATGGCAGCAATTTAAAAAGTGATGTTCCGTTTATAGTGAACCGAAAAATAATAAGGGCTTGGAAAACACGAGGAATCATCCTAAGTACACAGCTGTAGCAATTCTCGAATATAAAGGATAGGAGGTGCTACACTCATTATCAGGTAATGTTAAAGATAATGTGTGTCACATGCTTAATTTTGTTTTTCACATGATAATTCAGTTCATATTTTGTAACATTAAAGTGATATCTAGTACAGCTAACCAGCAGTTAATACTGACATTGTTTGAGTTGATTATCAATGATACTATAAGGTATTCTCCCGCCTCCCTACCATGCCTTCGTGGTTCTGCACGTTGGGCCGGTATTTCAGAAGTCCGTGGTTCGATTCCTGACGAAGGTGTTTGCTCATTTTTCATCTTGCCTGCTCCCAAAAAATACCTAATGTCTCTACAATACTTATATATTCTTTTTCCTCTTAATCATAATTTTTAAGATTCGCAAATTAAATTCTGGCTGCACTGTCTACCAGTCATATCACTTACTTTCGCTCACACACACATGCACTTTTTTTAATGAGTTAATTTTGTTTTAGATCTCTTTGAAGGCTAAAAATCGATATTTTTAACAGTAAATAAATAATTTCTCTCTCGAATGAATCAAGACACAGTTAGGTTAACTGAATTAATCTTTATTATTCACTAAAGGCATAAAGTGAAGGGTGAATTTTAAACATAATACGTAAAATGCAAAGCCATTCCAGGCTTTCTCAATGCTATTTATGCAATCACAAATGTTCTGACGCAGTCAAACATTTCGAGATAAACGTATTAAAAATCATGCAGAAGAGGAAGGTCACATTTCCACAAAACAAAAATTTTTAAGTTCAATAATTAGCAACATGGGAATTTCCTTGAAATAACTTTATTATACATTTATTATCAGTTTCAGTATTTACGTCTACAAACGAATGTAGTGTCAATTTTTCAGAACTTCAGATCAAAGCATAATTTTCAATTAGGAATTTTTTATTATTAGTTTCTATATTTTTTCCCCGTCTATCCACCATCGATAACTGTTCATTTATATTTTAATAAAATTAAAGTTTTATTTTATTTCACATTAGAAACATTACAAAAATTACTTATTTCTTTTTGCTGTAAAAATAACATATTACATATTTTCTATACATTTTAACACTAAAATTAGAAATAAAAGTAATAATAATAATAATAAAAAAATATAAAATAAAATAAATCCTAAATATATTCCAGTTATAGCCTTTCACCAAGACAATGTAAATTCCTTTTAAGTGGCTTTCATAAATGCTGTAAAAATACTTTATTTTTTGTTACTTGATGAATTTAATGAAGAAATCATGCACAATCAAAAATGTTTTTAAAAGATTTGTAGATTAACAAAGAGTTTTTTAATTTCACTTTTGTTGGTTCTCTGTAAAAGAACTGCATCTACTAACAGAGTTATTAAGTATACAACAGTCACCCATTACATAATCATCATAATTTATTTTATTATTAAATTATCTGAGACTGACTAATACTTTATCAAATTATAAAATTATATTATAGTCCAAATTAATATTAATACACATAAAATTTCCAATATATACTTAGTATATATAAATTAATATTTAATATACTGTGACATTAAAAAGTTTTATCTCAAAAAATAAATCTTTCATTTATGCATGTTAACATATTACACATGATGTAAGATATATTCAATGCATGAAATGACCACTATGTGAAAAGTGTGCTCATAAACAAATATTTAATGGAACAATGAAATATAATGTGATTGATGTAAAAATGCATAAAAAAAAAGATAATAGTGTATTTTAAATTCGATTCAAGCCAAGCTTTAATAAAAACTAAGTTCCTTAAATAAGTATCATTTCAGTTAAAAATGTATTAAAAATATTCAGCATGCACAAATTTATTTACTCTATTAGCATATTCTTTTTAATTATTTAAACATGCATTTAAAGTAATGACTTAAGCAGTTTAGCTGCTTTTTACATTCAAATTAAATAACTGACATAAAATAATAATATACACTCCTGTACCAGGTTTAAAGTAATATAAAATCAACTCCATGAATTATTGCTCTTTAAGCATTATTTCAGCAGTACTCCGCATTTACAATGAAAATGGTTTATTCACAAGTAGGACATTTATTCAAATATATGAAATTAAATATAAATTTAATTTGCTTAATTGAATAGTTATATAATAAATGGTGACTCAAAATATTCTTCATGAAATATAATTTCAGTAATTAAAATGAAGTTTTAATGCTAATGCAACAGAAAAAACAACAATGTAACCTTTCTCTTCTGCTTTCAAAGATACTCATTTCATGAAGTGCAATAACATAAAATACAATTAATCAGAATGTTCATTAGTAGAAACTAGCTTTTTTTTTTTTTTTTTTATTTTTACATATATCATAAACACATTGTAAGACATGTACACCTGCATTATGTACATAACACAGCTAAAAAAGAGTCTGTTAATCACAGCAGTTATACAAATGTAATTCGTATCAATAGTTAATCATAAATATGAATTATTTAATATCTAATTCAAAAATAGATAATTTTGACAAGGTATTAACGAAATGTCTTTGATAAATATTCCTAAATGATAAGCTTTAAATACCCTCTATGATGTCATTTGCCGAGAACATTAATAATAACTGATTAAAGAGTAATTACAAATTTTATAATTTAATAAATTTTGTCAGGAACATTAATTGATTAAAGAGTAATTGGAAATACTGTAATTTACTTTTCTTTTTTTGAGTAAAAATTCTCAATTTGAATTTGATACAATTTAGTATCATGTAAATTACTTTAAAAATGCACTTTAAGAATAATGACTGAAAATTCATATTCAGGTCATTTGCTTATTAAGCATACATAGCTGATAAAGATTTTATATCAATCCATAAATTAGTATCACGAGCTACATTAAGAACAGTTTCCAAATAAAAATAAAATCTGTGATTAATTTTTATAATGTTACATAGTATATGATACTTTTTATTTTATTATAACATATATTATTGTAGTTTATTAATTTTATCAGTATAATGACTTCAAATTAAATAACTTACATAAGATAATAATATACATTCCTGTACTACGTTTAAAGTAAGATAAAATCAACTCCATGAATTATTGCTCTTTAAGCATTATTTCAGCAGTACTCTGCATTTACAATGAAAATGGCTTATTCACAAGTAGGACATTTATTCAAATATATGAAATTAAATATAAATTTAATTTGCTTAATTGAATAGTTATATAATAAATGGCGACTCAAAATATTCTTCATGAAATATAATTTCAGTAATTAAGATGAAGTTTTAATGCTAATTAAATACATTTTAATACATTAAGAATACATAATTTATTTTATTATAATTTATACTATTGTAATTTATTAATTTTATCAGTATCAATACTTTATAATTTTTTAATGTTCTTATTTAACACTTAATAAATATTCTTTGTTAAAACACATAATATAAATTAAACTGCAAGAAATAAATTGTAAGAAACTAAGAAATAAAATTAAATTGTTAAAAAAATCAATTTAACTATGGTTTTCCATAAAGTATAATAAACATCAAGAGAAATTACAAATTTTTAATAATAAAATGTTTTAAATAATAAAAGTTCTATATCATAAACTTTTAATTCTCCCACTCATACTTTGTCTAATTAAAAACTTGATTTATGCAAAAATCCCAGCCTTCTTGACAGATATGGAGGTATTAAAGAATTATCATTTATACAGGAAATTTCAACAAAGCATGTAATACCAGAGTTTTTATTAAGGTCACCATACTTCAAACAATAATTTTTAACAAGAGGAAGAAACATGCCATAGATATCCAGTGGCAAACAAATTCAAGATGGAATACAGTTAATATTATCGTATGCCAGAATGATTTGTCATGAGTTTGCAGCCCAAACAAATAATAATGATCCTACAAACCACGTACCATGTACAACTGCATCACATTTAATAATACATATATTTTAACAACTATTTTGTCTCTTTACAAGAAGAGTCCTTTTAATTTACTGGATTCATTCATTCAATCCAAAGTAATACTGTGCAGTTTGCATTTTCTTCCCTTACTTCCCGTGAGGACATATTCACGAAGCAGACAGCAACACATGAATGATAAAAATAGCAAATAAGGAATGCAAAAGGGTTTGCTCATTCAGTTCTTTTCTTTTAATTCCTATTATGCTGAAATGCTACGAAGCAAGCTAAAGCAAATTAGAAAGAGATAATGGAGAAATGTAGCATATGATACAACGCGTCAACGTTTACATCGAAAAAAAATTGAATATTTTGATGTGTGGCAAAATTTAGACAGGATCACAATCCAATGCAGAGGCTGGTAAGCACAACACAATAAAACGCACAGCATCTGTGGAAGTTGCACAGTCAGAATGTTAAAATATGGTAGAACAGTTGCTGACATTTCTTTTCCTGTAATCTCAAAAAAACTGTCTTTTAGAAAAACAAAAATCACAAGAGAAGGTAGTTTCTCTGTCTTTCTCACTTTATTCTTCTGAATTTTATTCATTTTTTTTTTTTTTTTTATTTTAAATATTCCGACTCATCCATACATATACATATATTGAATATCTTCTAAATGGCACTGTGATTCACGTAACTTCACATGTAGAGTCACTGTGACCTCAGGCCTGTGATCCTAAATAAGAATGTGACTAGTAGCATGGCAGACATTAGGGCACTACTACTGGTAAAGGAAATGGCACTGCTATCCTTGACTTTGATATTCACATCTCCTGAATCACGGATATCAAAGTTGAAGTCACTAGGTTTTGTCCCTGAAGAGAAAAAAACAAGGGTGGTTAATAATTACATATGTGTTAAAAAAAAGGAAATGTTAGCAAAAATGTTTATTATTGCTTGATGCAGTCTTTTTCATGTCATACACTCCGATTCTCCCGCAGTAGTTTCTTGTAAACATTGATCTATCACAGCTTTGTAATCGTCAGATTCGTTAGAAATTCCCAAAGTGTCATAAACTTCTCATCAGTTCGGATGTCGAATCAATTTCTAAATTATTTTTTAACTTGCATCAAATTCTGTACGATATTAAGTGTTTCTGATGCGTTACGTACTGTTGCTTGAGCACGGGTTCGTAGTAGATTGAATGTACACAAGTCCGCTGATAGATTAATAAAATTTATTTTATTTAATAAATAATAATAATGTTAATAAAATTTATTTTAGTAACACTTCAAAGTTCTGAAATTTTCCTCAGTTCACAGTATCACAAAGTACAATCAGTAGTTAGGAATTAAAAACTCCTAAGAACGTTAAACACAACGGAATAGAAAACGCATTTAAAGAGAAAGCCAGCTTCGATATCTCATTTCATGCAAAACAAACAAATCGCAACAATAACTAAGCAACTGAATGTAGATGGCTCTCTGGGCTTTTATAGCTTTTAACCGACCACCGAGATATTTCTAGCACTTTCTGCTTCTCGAAAAAATACATGAATGCAATGCAAAAAAACATAAAAACTCAAAACATCTGCAGTGAAATTTGTAAAATACAGAAAAACATAAAATGCCAGATACAATTAAAACAGCTAAAATATTTTTTTCACAAGTAAAATTGTAGTTTCTATGCATAAACAAGCAATTAGGCCAGCAGACAAGATAGCAGATTTTTTGGTGGTTAAAACCGAATGTTTACTTTTTGTCCTACTCGGCAAAAAGACACTGAAAGTGCAGAAACTGACTTAATTCACTATTCTACTAAGAGTTTCAAATGTAAATAAATGGCTACCTTGTTAGGGTTAGCATCACTTAAACTTTTAAATGAATGATAATTTTACAAGTAATGCTGCAGATTAACTAAAGGCATTAAAAAAAACCTTAACCGGAACATAAGAACAATAGAATTCAATCACTTTCAAAGCAAAAAATGCACAATTTACCAACTTATAAGAATAAAACACTAAACTCACTGAGCGGGTAACAGAGAGGGGATATATTTATACACTTTGGGTGTGGGTGATTGCAACCAAAAAGTGAGGTGCACCAACTTCATGTTATACCAGTCCATACAAAATTTGAACATACTGAGGCTACTTGTTTTTGAGTTATGCGAGATACATACATACGTATCTATTGTACACATATTCGTGACATACACATACTGTCACGAAAAAATCTCTACTGAATCCATATTAAATAAGTTTTATAATTTTTTTGGGGAAAAAAGAGCATTTTATTCTGTCCATATGTATCATGGAGGTAAGAAAGGAAGGAGTGGCCGACCGGTACTAGAAGTGAAGCACTACTTCCAAGCTTCGGTCACCAGATGGGGTGTTCTTTGTTTACATTGAGAAGCTCGCTTGACAGTGTTCTGATAGTATTTCGACACACGACAATTCCATACAAATTGAAAAAGGGACACTTTCGCATGAAAGAAACATTCATAGTGTGATGGATTTGTATAGTTTAGAGACATTTACGCAAAAATCACATCTTGGTTATTTTTCAATAACTAACAACAGGGATTTTGATTATGAATTTGTTTTATAAAATACTAAGCTGTTGAACTACAAAAATATAGATTTTAACAAAAATGTTGTGCTTAAAGAATGAAAAATACCTTACGGTACCTTTAACATTGTATACTTCTTTCGATACCCTTGATAGAGTATTCGCTACTTTTATTTTACGTTCCAAATTCCAAAATGTTTTAAATAAAATAAATTTTTTTCACATCCATACATTATTGTAACATGAACCTTTTAAAATTTTTTAGAGGAGAGGCTTTACTGCTGCTCATTTTAAACTCATCGTTTTAATTTTATATATCTGAACAATAATCACTTTGGGCTTACACGTTTTACTTATTTGGGTTAATTAAAAATAAAATCCTTATTTTATTCCCTTTCAGAAATGTTCAGAGAAAGTTAAGTACTATTCAAAGCATTTCGCTAATTTCTAATAATTCTCTAATTTAAAATGAACCGAACAGAGCATTAATTATAAATTGACTTATATTTTTCGATTTAAAAGATGCCTCAGAAGCTAAAAAAATCATGTCATATTTAAGAAAGTATTTTAGGAAGAAGCTCTATAAATAGAAAAGAAATAATGCATAATTTTAATATTAATAATACAATAAACTTTGATCTTAATTTTTGTACTTTAACCGATTAAAAAATTACCTTAATTTTTTTTTCTAATGTAATTAACGAAAACTTGTGAAAATATTTCATTCAAATTAAACCATTCTGAGAAACTCTTCTGTGAAAAGTATAGCATTTAATTCCGTTCAGAATGAAATGTTGTTTAAAATATTGGTTTTCATATACTTAGGACTCTGAAGTGTTGCAGAAAAAGAAAATATATACATTTATATGTATATTTACGACGTAATTACAAAACATTTACATCCGATCGCGTCAAAACCCATTGAACTTAATGGTAAATGACCCAATGTTTTGATCACCACGTAAGGATCGCCAGTGCTTCAGAGCAGGGTACGGGAGGAACCTGTTTAGGGCCACTCCATCTTACTTCCTACCTCCATGATACGTACAGATGCACGCAAAAACGTCGTTAAATTGCATTCGATAGCGGTCAAAATGGATATTTTCGTTGAAATATGGTACCCGGAATTTTTCGTGATTACTATACTTCCTTTACTTCGTACAAGGAAGTAAAAATGAGATTTAATTATTGAAGACTATGAATGGCTTCAATAATGAATTCTTCTAATGAAATAAAAGCTATGCATTTATTTCATTACAAGATTTATGCACGAGGCTTATATTCCCCCCCCCTGAAGTGCCATTTATTTCCATTTTGTCAGAATAAGAAAATCGAAGGAACTGAAAAAATAAACATCAGAATGTTTTTTAAAAAGGATCATCTGCAATCACTACTCACTACTAACTGCGGATACGAGACAATTCGCTTTATCGACTAATCACAGATCATGGCAAGACTCTACACATCAAGCAACGCAAATAAATAAATATGCGGCGCAACTGATACGAAAAACGAATAAAAATACGCAATCGGAAGCACTCGAAAACGATCACTTAAGATTTGATCGTTGTTATTTGACCTTCCGTCACTTATTCTTCGTCAGATCTCTTTTTTAAAAAACGCAGCCAAATAAAAGAACCCTTTTCGATTCGATTCGATTCGGGCACTTTAAACGGAAGCCATTTGAGAAAACAACTTTCTAATTTCCTCCTCTTTCGTTTCAAATTAAATTACCGCTCGACTTCGGAGTTCTCGCAAAAAGAACTGCATATTCTTGGAGAAAACGGCGATCATTTATTTATATGAAAGGTCTAAGACAGTGAGAATCGTCGAAGGATATTTTAAATAATTTCCTTCCTTACAGACGATTTCGCAAGGTCTGATAGTTTATCCGGGTTCGTAGCAATTTAAAACTAGTTCCACTGGAAGGCGAAACCCCTTCTCCCCCTCTGCAAGTTCGGAAAAGAAGAATAAACTTAATAGTCTATTTGCTAGTGATACGTTGGACAGAGCAATAACTAATATATCAGAAAAAATTTCATGGCCATCAGCTCCCTATATATTTAAGACACAGAAATTATTCACGTAATTAATTCAAGCTTTTCCTTAACAGAAAGACATTGATATAAATTATGAACGGAATTAGTATTGCACTAAGTTTTAAAATGATTCATCCCATTTCGGAGTGGCATATACCGTACCAGTTAAAAGTGAACCATTTGATTCAGAGGAAAAAAAGTATGTCGTCTTCGAGTTATAAGAATCCGGCTTCTGAGGTCGCCAAAATGCTGGCATATAATGTGCTTTTATCTCGTGTCGCGCTGGATAAGTCCCAATGAATCTGACAATCTGATGCTCCACAGCTGGATTTCCCACATGCGGCGTTTTTAGTGGGTTAAATTACAGCCGTTGTAATCAGGCTATATTTACCGACAGCTCTATATTATTTCAAAAACTACATTGCTATTGCTCTTACGACAGTAATGGAGGAAGTACATGTAGCAGGGGTAGCCACAGCGCGGCTCGCGAGCCGTGTTCGGCTCTCACAGGCGAGTGTCGTGGCTCTTATGCAAATTAAATATAATATACATGAAATACGAGAAACTAAAAGTATTCAAAGTCCAAAAAAAAAAAAAAAAAAAAAAAAAAGTTACCGTATTTTCAGGCGTATAATGCGTATCTATAGTATCACAATACACTTTTTAATTCAATATTCCTCTGTCTAACGCGCATCCAATTCTTCACGAAGAAATCTAAAAGATACATATGCAATGCTCTTATCTTTTGAGGTCACTTATTCGAACAATGGTAAACCGCACTGCCAAGCGGTAAGGGGAACAATATATGTTAATGCTTGAGCGAGCAAATATTCTGGGAAAGAGGGTGGGTTGTATTCAATGCAGATGTCCAAAAGAATGCTACTGTGGAGCACTTGCAACCTGAATGAATTTGTAGAATTAGATGTCTGTAGTCATTTGAAGACGAGATTTTAAAGTGAAAATCGAAGGCTTTAGTAAATGGCATTTGCTTTAGTTGCAATGTAGTTTAATCCGCGAAAAGAAACACAATGCTGGTTTCAAATGCAAAGCCATTCCTTTTACGAAAGAAAAATGGAAATCGTGATGGCTGTTTGGTGTTGGTGAAAGATAGAACGAATAATGATTACTTATTTGTGGACCAAAATAACAATAATGATAAAGATAAAATGAAATGCGATGATATGCCTGAAGATATAACAGAAGACGAACCCTTCATGTTGTAAGGTTTATCCTAAGTTTTTAACAGTTTTCTTTAGTTAAAGCTAC